TTTTCTCCTTCAAAGATTTTATCTGCTCGCCATGTTGACCAATCATTAGCTCATTTATGTTATCCTGTTCGAAGGTGGCAGTCGTTCGTACAACACTAAAAATAGCGGTCTCTGGACGCGAAAGATTTTCTATTTACCTGAAATGGTCTTCTCCCATTTTTTTTGCAGTTTGGGTAGGCTGATGGTGTCAATTTGACGCTGAGAAAGCAAGGCTGTGACAAGAATTTAGAGTGGTTTTCGTTTGAGTGTCGTAAAACCAAAACCAAAGTAATTACTCTGGCCAATCACATAGGACACAGACAATACATTGAACCAATCAAAACTCGAAGTAATTACATGTGGCTGACGCAAAGCGCGGGAAAATGCATGCGAGCGCGTCACAATTGGCTTTGGTTTTACTTCTAATTAGATGAAAAGGTGGCGCGAATCTTTTAAGCCAATCGCATCGTGTAGAAAGTGCAAAACCAATTACTTTTCGACACTCAAATGAAAACCGCTCTATTACCCATGAAACGTTTCGTTGTTTTTTACCATAGGCTTGCGCATGCGCAGAAAGCTAAGGTGTTTCTTAGAAATCGCAAGATGAGTTGGGAACGAGGTTATATTTGTGACTCATCTACAGTTTTGTATTGTTTTAGTACTGAGGAAATTGCTAGAACTAAGTAGGAGATCATACAAGGTATTTCTCGATTGGTTGCATCGTGATTGGGTAAACGAGTTGACTCGGCTGTTGATAATGTTACCGATATTTTACTTATAAATGGCGTCTATTAGTCTTCTACTGAATTAGACGTGTATCCAATATTGGAGTTTTGACACAGGTTCTTGCTGTCATCTGAAACTACGGGTGACTTATTTCTTTGCGCAGACTAAGTTTTCCCCTTTGTGAGATGGTTTCCTGTTAAATATTGACAAGATAGTGACCAATAACAACCCGTGTGCTTGATGAATCCTGATCTAGTATTAAAATCGTTCAAATATATCTGATAAATCTTCTCTATCGAAAGTGGTTAGTTGTTTTAAATTCAACGAGAAGTTTCCACCTAGAAAGGGGAAATTCGGAAGGACGTGTACAAAGTTTTCCCGGTCTCTTGACACTGCTTACAGCTACGAGTGGGAAGTTTTAAATAATGTGATCTAAGTTAACTAGCTTGCTAGTCAATGGTTGATTTATTCCCTCAAAGGGCAGTCATAGTCATTTGCAGTAATTCTGACAGTATGTATGGGTGTTTTCTTCTCTGTGCAAGATAAGTCAGTCTCTAGTTTTCACGATACAAGGACTTGTTAATAGAGACACGCATTTACTCTGCTGTTAGATTGTGTTAGAATTAGAACAATTTTCCACCAGCTCTGACTTGTTCTTTATTTATATCATTAAATGGATTGATGACTAAGCGTTAATTTCTAGGAATCAGAACAAATTTCTAGAAAAAAAGTTCTAATTAAACCGCATACGAAGTACCCTGCTTTTACATTAGGCTTGGGACTTTATATAATACATTTACATCCTATGCAGAGTTGCGTGAATAAGATTATATTTTATTTCAAAGGAGAAAGCTTTTAAACAAAAAGTGACTTCTTCGTTCCTAAAGTAGCCACAATTCATGATAGGCATGATAGATTTGTGAGATTTGTTAGGACATTAAAGGGACGTTTTTCGGGGGTGTGGGGCATGGGACAGAGTAATATCACATGGGAAAAGGGCCAATATTATCACGAGCGTTTTGGAGTTCAATATATTTCCCACATTTACAAACTACACAGTGTGTGACTGTTCAAAAACAAGAAAGAAATGCAAATTCTTCTAGAATGACTTGTGTTTAATAATATTCTGGCTTTTCAATCGCCCCCCAAAAACAAACCACTCTCTGTGACTGCAGCTGCAAAGTCACATGCATCATTGCAAGTCCACAAATATGAGATCTCACAATTTTGGAATTATTAACATCTGTTTGTTCAAACCGGATGCATCAACACTGTAAATTAAGGCACTGTATGGCGGTCCTCTTTTACCCAACATTTTTATTTCATTTTCATTCATTTAAAGTTGTTGTTTATAGTAGCGTAATAAGTGATGAAATAAATGAAAGTGATCCGTGAACTATATGGTGATATAGGTCAGTTTTTCAGAAATTCCTTCCTTAATTGCAGTCATAAAAAAGCATTAAGCTGCCTGACAAGGAATCAGAGTGCTTACTCTGCATGTAGGTTCAAGATGTAGATTTTCACGGTATTTTGAAAATTAAAAACGTTTCATTATAAACAAGACACCCTTTGTAAACATAAAAAATGGAACTGAAGCAGATAATGTTTGGTCCAAATAATGATTCCGTTACACCCATCGATTGAACTAAACGCAAGCAGCTTAATTTTCATTTTATGGTTTGAATTAGACACAATTTGCTGCTTTAGCTCCGTTGTTACAAATTCTGAGGAACGGCACCATAATCTCTGCCCTATTAGCTTGTACTAAAACCGTTGCTGCAATTAGGCAATGACTGGATGTGTTTAGTTTTATCCACATCACTGGATTAAAGTGCTTTGATCTCCATTTAAAAAAGAATTTTTTATCTAGGTGCCTGTCTTTAAACCTGTGACCGAGCCGTTCTTGAGTACGTTGTACAGGATGCCATTTCCGCCTTTTCATTTGAAAATGATTTTGAAAAAAAATTCCTCTGTCAGCTTTACTTTAAGAATTTTTGTCGTATTCTCTATTATTATTTATACAATGATGTGAATGCTACGCGCGCTGTGATTGGTCGTTGCCCATGATCTATTAGAGTACAGATACATGGATGACGTCACGGGAAACTTGTTTTCTTTGTTTTGTTCAACATGGCACGCGGTTTTGAAAATGTTTGTGAGATTATTTCGGATTGAGGCAAGTGAAAGCTTCGGAAAAAGTTTAGCAGGAGCTATTTACAAAGAAGAAAAATGGAGAAACGGAGACCAAAAAAGCTATTGACTACTTGACAATGCCTAAACTACAAGAAATCTTCACAACAGTTGCCATCGTGTGTCTTCGCTACGAGAGACTCGCTGTTTTGCAAAATGTTTTCGCTGTTATTCTTCTTTGAGCAAGAAAAAACGGTCAAAAACTTTTCGAAGAAACTGTACACAAGTAAGATAAAGAAGAAGCTAAGCTGAAAAGTTGGGTTTGGGACTTAAAAAATGCCTAAACTAGCGCAAATCCTCAAAAGGTCAAGCGGTTCGAGGCAGGTATGTGTATCGGTCTTTTTCTTTTCTGATCATTGTATAAAACAAATAGATTCCATGTTGCCGTGCGTCTGTTCAGTAATGGATCACAGAGGACGTCAAAATGTGGTAAAAACAGCAGTGACACACTCGCCTGCGGCTCGTGTGCCACTTCTTTGTTTTTACGACATTTTGACGTCATCTGTGATCTATTACTGAACAGACGCACGGCAACATGGAATCTATTTGTTAAATACATACTGAGAAATACTCACCAAAAGCTATGTCGTAATTTTCGTCACAAATTAGTTCTAGCCAATCAGAGGAGCGAACGATGGTTTTCACACGTGAAAAAAATGATACGTCCAATCAGAATCGCGAACGATGTTTTTTCACGTGTGAGAAAAATGATACGTCCAATCAGAAGCCACAGAGGTGTGTGAGTTTCGCGCCAAAATTCCCGTCTTTTATTGCAGCTTGCAGCGCCGCTTCGCACACATTCAACGAGAAAAGTTTTACTCAAAGAGTTTTTCTCGCTAGAAAACGGCAGAGAGCCGGCGAAACAACAGCGGAAAGGGAAAAACAGAACGAGACGTAAGCTTTTGTTGTGCTTTTTGTCGGAGCTACTTTGCCTTTCATTTAAGCTTAAGCTTATATTGAAACCGGTCATTTTACTTCAATTCACTCATTTTCAATTGTGCATTGAGAAAAAACAGTTAAGAATACTTATAGTTCTTGGAATACTTATAGTTCTTCTACCTCATATCCTTACCGTCATTTATACATGGAAAGTGTTTTGTACAATATTTACGCACTCGTTGTTTTTGTATCAGAAATCTTACTCGTTCGCTGCGCTCACTCGTTCGATTTACTCGTGCGTAAATACCGTACGCCAGCACTTTCCAGCGCTTTTGTTTTCATATTCATGAATTGTACACGAAACTATTATTTTCGTTACTCCCAAAATCCGACAACTAAAGTGACGATCGAACTATGATTTCATTAAAGACTCTTAACTCTGAGATGATTTGGGTAACTTATTTTCTGTGAGTATCTCAATTTTGACCTACAGACGTTTGTACCTAATAAAGCTTTAATTCATAAAGAGGTTATGGTTGTCGTCTGAAAACGTGGAGGCTTTACTCCATCGTTTGAAGTTGTTTCCAGATATGTATCAACTCATCAAAAAGTTTTTAAGAGAGTCTTCCTTTCAGGTTACCTTTCGCATCTATAATTTCTGCAGCTTTGATCAAACCCCCTTCTGTTAATGGGCTGGGATTCCCGTCAATATTTATGTTTAATTTCTTGGAGCGCTTTCATCGCGATCGATACGATGTTCTTCATCTTATAGTTTCTGCCCGATGAAACACGAATTCGGAAACACTATCTTCTATATCTTGTTTTGGAGTTGACGTCACAATTCCCCAAAGAAAGCGAAGCGTATAGTTCGCGATCAGCTTATTGCAAATGCTTTGGTTGACTTAGCGCTGGAGTAATTTGGCGTCCAGGTCTGATAATAATCTCTTTAATTTCTTCCTTTATTGCTTGGTTTCTACTCTCCATGACTTTCCCGATACGTTGCTCAGACGTTCTTGTAATTCCATATTTTTCTCCTCCTGGGCCAATTTTGCTTCACTCAACAATTTGATGTCATTCTCCATTTGATTAAACTTGACTTTAACAGATTGCAACTCATCCTCCAGTTCCCTTTTAGCTTCTTGTATTTTTCAAGTCGAACGAGTCTGGCTTTGAGGGCTTTGATCTCTTCGCTTCTGGACATCAACGCCACGTAAATTTCTCTTGGTTTTGGTCCTCCAGAGCTTCCATAGTCTTTCGTAAGTCGACGATTTCTTTTTATTTCTGATCAATTTTCTTTTTGAGGGAATCGATGTCTTCGTTATGTTGATGTTAAGCTCGTTTATTCTGGCGCGTTCTTGGTGCACTTCCCTTCTCAGAGTAACATCCATTCCTAAAAGAGCAGCCATCGGATTGAATTCTTCCATATTCTGTCGAAACTGATCTCCAGCGACCATGTTGACCCTTGCAAAACTGTAGAAACGATTTCTTTGTTCCCGGGAGGTCCGGTTTCTCGTAGTGTGTTTAGTTGAGGTGATGCATCGGGAAGATATTTGCTCACCTTCACGTGGCTTCGACCGATCAGTATTTTCATTTGAATGCCCAGTCATGCGCAGTCAGTGCATCGATTTCTCGGAATTGGGCTAATCTTCCACAGGTGCCACTTGTGTTTAAGGCGCGCGGTCACGGATCTGCTTGGCAAGAATTTTTTTCTATTAAAAAAAAAAAAAAAATACCCAGGAAAAAGGGGGAATTATTAGAAAAAAATAAAAACGGAAAAGGGACGGGAAAGGAAAGGAGGAAAGACTCGGGGGAGACAGTGGCAAAAAAAAAAAAAAAGAAGCAGACGCGGCGCAGAAGAC